CATGCACGACATGTACGAATTGATCAAGCACAATTTTAATCTTTTTTGCAGAATCATCTCTAGAAAAAATTCTTATTGTTTTCTATTTTAATCGAAGATCTAAAGATTCTCAAGACTTTTTTCTATACTATTGATAATTACACAATAAATATTCTTGAAAGATTACATTTGCATTTGTCATTATTTATTTGAATTTCTTAATAAAAAAAAATAAAGAGAAATAAGCTACAAAAGTCTTCATCTGTTCTCTGTGTATAGATTGGAAAAGTTTAATTCAAAAATAAATTTTCTTTTCTTTTCTTAACTGAAAATTTCGTTCTTCTGATGATAGTTTCAGAGAATTATAATAATGACGAGCTGAAAGTTCACGATCTACGATATGTATTGAAAAGTTCCAACAGAAAACTTTTGCTGATATACTCATGCATGGGTTTGTTTTCAAGTAATGGAATTAACCTTGAAGACATTTCTCGTATTCTTTTAGGAACTTTTTCCAAAAATGCTTCGCTATTTTTCTAAATTCAACCTTTTTGTAGATTAAGATCAAACATCGAACCATTATTTATCTATATCTTATTGCACATTATTTCATCATTAAAATTTTCTTTTCTACACAATTTGAAAGTCATTATCAATCGCTTCTCAAGAATTTTTATGTCAAGATCATCGTCTATGTTTTAGTCGCTTCTTTCTTCCGTCTTTCTCTCAATATCTGTCGTTTCATTACATAGATATGATGTGATCTTTCTTGACAAAACATAACGATGTACGTATGTATCCTTACCGTTATCTTGACAATCCATACTTTTCTCAAAGTTTTTTTTTTCCATTGAATGAATTCTAAGCCTATTGTTAACGGTTTTTTTTTTACAATGAAAACATCTTAGTTCAACATTGACGAGATTATACCACATATCAAATGGCTTAATCATGTTTTCAAGTGGACAGAAAACGTCAGATTCACAATAGACATGTGTATGCAGTGTACCTAGATCACATCCAGATCTATACATTTCTGTTATTCCAACATGTAGTGAAATTTCCTTCTAACAAAAAGTCCTGAAGGCATCAAAGAACTGTCTTTTCGCAAGAATTCCAGATTTGATTTTAAATTGGTAAAATCTCGAATGTAAACGAAATAGTATACGAATAAAATTCAACTGATTCTGCTATAAGAAAAAGATATCCTTTCTTCTTCTCAATGTCATCCTTCAATTTCTTTCAAAACTACACACAGCATTGAATGACTATGATCGAGTTGGATGATACATCAATGTTTTACCTTTGTGAATAAGCTGACCTATTCAATTTGACAACGGCGCAAAAGGCACCGAGCGGGCTGAAAAAATAAAACGAATTAAGACTAAATTGACGAATAAATTGTCTAAACAGAATGATTTAACTTGGAATAGATCAATCACGTTGGTTACTCTGTTTTATTTTTTTCAGTCTGTTTGATATCAAAGTGAGGAGAGGCAAACAATGAACATATATATGTATATATAGCTTTATCTCAATCAAAAGCATCTCAGTCATAATAAAATATGAACCGATCAAATGTTCATCTTCTCGATTTACCTGATGAAATATTACTTATGATTTTGAAGAAGTTGAACAATGTTGATGTACTTTATTCTTTATTGGATAATAATAATGGACGACTTAACATTCTTGCACAAGAAAACACTTTCACCAACATTCTGAGGGTTCCCTCCGTTTATGATTATCCTTTAATCGAACGATTCTGCATCGATATATTACCAAGAATTCATCATAATGTAAAATGTTTTGTTTTTCATCTATATTGTATGAAACCTATTCTTCTTGCCACTGACTATCCGAATCTAACTGAACTTAAAATTTTTTATTTCAAACAAATATTCACTTTAGATTATCTTACAAGTAAGCATTTTATATGAATTTGATTAGTTGACAAATAATAAAAGTGCTAAATAGAATAGACTAGAATATGTTTCATTTCATTGTTTTCTCCTTTAGATGAACCATCACTTCGATCTATTTTCCAAGAACAAATTACAAACCTTACTCTTATCAATGATGATGAAGACGAAATGATAGATTCATTGGAAGATTATACTACAAACGTATATAGTCACATCTTGACCTTCTTCAAAAATTTAAAAGAATTAAGTATTATGGGACCATATGCTATATCAATGTATCCAGGTTTATCACTTTGTTATTTGCCATCGACTACTTTTTCATCTTCGATTCTTACTCATTTATATATCAATGTGGAAACTTTTGATGATTGTCTTTATTTACTTGATGGTCGACTTAGAAAATTGACAATATTGTGTGTTAATGTCTATTCTATAGACGAGTATTCAGAAATTGTTCACAATATGGTAAGTTTTTACAAATAATTTTATTTGTGACATGAAGATTATTACTATTTTAATGCAGTTAACGATTGATCTCAAAAAATTCAAATAAGAGATCGAATGGTTAAGTTTCATGTTGACAAGGGAGAAAAACTGATAAGTTTTGATGAACATAACCGATGAACATATCAAAATCATTGACATTAAATTTGTACTTACTAGAAATTTGAATTTAACAAAAGAATCAATAAAATTTGTTGCAAGAAATTATAATTATATAATATTTTATCGGATAAGTTTTACATTGAAAACTGGACTGCTCTGTTTCATGATTGATTAAATATCATCATATGTGAATGATCATCAGCATAGAATGAAACGAAAGTTTTTCTATAATAACAATTTTTCCAATAATTGAGATATGATTGGAAGTTTGTCTGAAACTTTAATTGTTCTTTGAACACTCGTTTATTATGCTGTAAAATGGGAAAATCAAACTAATAGATTTGTCATTTGTGGTCATTCACAGATAGAATATATATCATATACCATGTCTAAAATAATGATACCTATCACTTAATCGTGTAGATTATCAAAAAAAAATATTTCTTTCTTTTTGTAGGATAAATTATTTAATCTAAAATGTTTCTGATTAAAATCGTTCTGTCGATTTAAACAATATGATAAAATTGTATCACTTCTTCGTCGTATGTCAAATCTGGAAAAATTAACTTTATATCTTCCCATAAAAGGTCGAAATAGAGTTATTGATGGTACTTATGTTCGGCATGATATTTTGGATTATATGCCACAACTTCATTCATTCACTTTCTATATCTGTACTTATCTGAAAACGGTTCATTTATTCTACAAGTTATCTAGTGAAGATATTCAACAAACATTAACAAATATTGGACAAGAACATGTCACGAGTATAGTCAATTATATTCAAGGTGGAATAGCTGCATGCTCGATTTTCTCACATCCTTTTGAATTTGATTATCTCAAACATCTTGGCAATAAATTTCCAAATATTGTATTCAGTTGTGTTACGTTTTTACTTGTAGAAGATACTAATCCATTCAAACATGAATTCTTCATTCGAATTGCTCGATCGTTTCCATTACTGAAGTATTTACGTATTTATAATAGAGAATCACAAGTATTAGATGGTCTTATTACATTTTCATCTGACAATTGTCAATTACACCCAATTGTTGAATACTTTCATCTGACTAGACTCGATGTGAGATATGCACATAGAGATTATGTTGAACAATTTCTAAATGAAACAAAGACATTCATACCTTGTCTGACGGAATTTGGAGTCAATGTTGATAATTTAAAAGCTGTAACAAAACGTTTTACAAGAGAAGAAACACGACGCAATTGTGCTAAGGTGAAACGAATAGAGACGCTAGGATTATTGTTTCGTTCGAAAGATGTTGTTCTTTATTTTCCTTCGTTGGATAAATAGATGTATTCTCATTTTGATTTATTCAATAAACTGAAAAACATGATAAATATTGTATTTATAGGTTAATGATATTTCTCAAATATAATGAAATATCAACTATGAATGATCGTTTTCTTATTTTATAAAAAAAAAAACACAACATTTTGTGATGCTGCAGAGTTATAGGTAAAATGAAAATGCTCCTTTTGCAATTGTTTGAAGACATACAAAAAGAGTTGATTTCGTTTTAAATGTAAAAATAGTCCTTACTTTTTCAATCTAACTCAAATTGAAGAATGAATGAACATTAATTTCTGATTGCATTCGATCTAAAGTTCAAAATAGTTTCAATAATTTATATTGAATTAAATCTTTGATAATTTGTGAGTAGACTTCTGATGTCTAATTCATATGTTTTATTTTGTTCTAAATGTAATATTGTGTGTTATAAGAAGCACGATACATGAGAAATATTTTGTTTGACAAGAGAATAAGACGATGATCGATGCATCATCACTAAGAAATTATAGCAGAAATTATTAGAGAAAAAGAAAAATACCTTCATATATTCGGTGGACAAACAGATTGAACTAATTCA